TTCTCCTCGAAGCCTTCATCAGGTATATATCATCCTTAACAATTGTAAAAGTTTTGTAAGTAACAAAATGTTGGAAGCAGATTACAGATTATAGACTAAGTAAACTATGCTCAGAATGCAAGGTTTATTATATACGTCRTATGAATAAGAAGATACCWCTTCTTCATCATCGTCTCGTTGCTTCAGCACGCTTGTAGTGTTGTCCTTCTGTCCKTTATTTTTATCCTTGGTTGGAACCGTCTTTGAAAGGTCTTTTTTGACAATRATCTRAAATAAAGAAAATTTATCAAATTGTTTCTGTAGCGTTATTGGGAAATAAATTTTACCGAAACATACCTGTTTCRTAGTCTTTTGTCTTTTCAGTCGAGGGAGTATCTCTTCTGATTCCGTCATTGATTCTTCCTYATTATCAGTTTTGTTTATCTTGTATTCTTCGGAAGATTCATTATCATCCTGTGATKCCTCGTCATTTGAYGGTAGAACATCYTGTTGGAAGAGGAAGAAAAATTAATGACATGCAACTATATCACAAACCCAGTTCAAAAAATCATATTTACCTCGCTTTTGTCACTTGGCCGGCCATGTTTCTTCTTAGGTTTCTTCTTCTCGGCAACCTTTTCATCATCCCCTTTCGTTTTACTCTTCTGGTCTTTCCTTTTTTTCACAGGTTCTTCATTTTCTATTTTGCCACGTTTTGGCTTTTTGTCAGGCGTCTTTTTAGGTGCACGTGCCTGTGCAGTGTCCATCTGGGTACAGGTAGGTKCRCCTTCAGTCATARAATTCTCGTCGTCGCTGTCCAATGATATTGTGCACGGTTTTTCTGACTTTGGTCTTGAACGAATGATTCCTRCAGCTAGCAATCTTTGGCTCGAACGTCTACCTCYTGTTGCCTTCTTTTTAACYATATCTATAAYGRGGTAGATATAATATTCATTGATATCAAGAGATGTCAATACAACGGGGTAGATATAATATTCTACAGAGTAGATGACCATTTTTGTCAGTTTGTATCACT